TGATAAAGAGTTGAAATTCTTTTTCTACTTAGGGCTCATCGACTGGTCATCGTGAATTTCGGATCAACAGTAGACACAAATTTCATAAATTCTAATTTTTCTGCCGATGAGAACGTAAGACCGAGTTCAGTTATTAACTTCTGAACAATAGTATCATGTAACTCCTGTTGTTGTTGATGATAAGAGTAATGAATTCTTCCTAAAAAAAAAAATTCACGTAATTTTGACTGCTGTCGATCTAACTCGTCTGATTTGTTTGACCTTTTAGTATATTCAGTTTGACGACAGGTTTTTTATATGATGACTAAAGTTAGATGTAACAACAATATTACTAAATACTAATGGTGTCTCGTAAAGAACAGACTCTTCAATATTCTACCGACATCTCTTTTTAATTCTTATTGGTGCTATCTGGCTTTTTTTAAACATTCATCTTTTCATCCTCTACACATTATATACATATACTGTAATTTCCAAGCCTATGTCTTCTTTGTAATATGACGAAAAGTAACTTCTTGTGACTCAGCACAATAAAAATATGGTGTAACATGATCCTTAACATTGTTTCCATCGAGTTGTCAACATTGCCTGGTCCTCCACGCCTTCTCCGAGTTATTAAGATAATCCAAAATGTCAAACACCGATTAGAGCACAAAAAGGAGATGGAAATTAGGAGAGTGGCTAAACAATACGCTGTATCAAGGATAAGAGCTCGTCGAATGGTGAAACAGTATCTGAAACCCCGCATTTGTAAGACGATAATCCAATTGCGACTATGACTGACGAACACAAGTACAAATGTAAAAATTTCTCAAGCTAAGTCGGTATAGTAACTTTCGAAGGCAAAATACGATACGCTTTTTATTTTGAGATGAAAGGTTTTCTTCTGCTACTTCATTACATATTAAACATTTAATGGATCGTTTTTTCTCATTTTTTTAAATAACATGTGTGAAGAATTCATTTCAAGCAGCTTTTACAACGTCCTACTTTGTGGATGTTACTTCACTTGTGGATTTTGATGCTGACGATATTGATATCGCGGAAAAACTTGTATTGGGAGATTCAGAGTTACTCATCATGATTATTATTATTTAGTTGACTTTTTTTTAGTTTTATGTCAATTTTAATTATGAATAAAATATTTGTGATTCTCTTTATAAGCCGTATGGGGTTGTTCCAGTTGGAAACAATGTTTCTTATGTTGGTTAACAGCTAAAGACGAAATTGTTTATTCATGCACTCTCATTCCGTTTATTGCTGAAAATCAACAACTATATACAAGCTTATGACCAATACTTTCCATATGGTACATGTCCAAGCACGTTAAGAGAGGGTGTGGGTGTGACTATCCTTTTCATAAACACCCACACCACACACCCACACCCACACCCCACATCCCACCCACTCACACTCACACCCACACCCACTCACCTTCACATCCACACCCACCCTATTCACAGAATGAACCATAGAGAATCGATGGACATAAACACTGGATGTTATCTTTAAAATAAACCGGGATGCCGCCACGACATGGGAACTGAGTTAACGACATTGGACGCTCATTGGCAACAATTAAACCATTTTTCTCCGATGTGTTTGTTAAGAAGACTATTTTCGATAATACTGTTACTGGAGAAGTCAAGCCCGTTGGTGGAAGAATACTGTAGTTAGCAAGTGAAAAATGTGGAGCCTTGCCGAGTGTTATTGAAGAGGCTCTAAAAAAATCATCAAGAATGCAGGAAATGTTTTCTTTTATTATTAGTTGAGCTGTTCCCGAGAAAACATTGCATAACGAGTCAACATTACCACCGATTTTGCAGAACGACTTTAGTTCATCATCTTGTAACGGACAATTGAAGTTTTCATCATATACATAGCTAGGATTAATGCATACGTTCGTTCTATAAGAAATAGATACAACATAATCAATCATAATTGAAATATCTATTGCCTTATTATAAAGAGTGGGTAAAAATATTTTTCCAGGAGGATAACGCTATGATTTCAAATAGCAGTCATAACAATCTTTATACCAAATTAAAGAGCATCGAAAATGAGATTTATCAACGCTAGATAGTAAAGGTTTAGACAAACTTTTAGTGCCGAATTCATGAAATTCTTAAAATTTTACGCCATATTGACAATGAAAAATTACTTTCATGAGGTAGTTCAAACTGGATCTCATTTAAAATCAGGAATCACACAAAGTAATCAATATCTGTCGCGTAAATATTGGAACAATAATCGAAAATAAAATGGAAACAAAACGCTATTGGAGACGAAACACTATCTTTACGATGAAGAGACTTTTGAAAACATATTTCAAATGTTTCGACAAACATAGAAACAAACATTGAGTCATGTGAAACTATTTCATGCTCGTATCCGTCTCATCTTAGTGCTTTAAAAAAGCCTAATGGTCATCATACTGATTATTGGTCATTTTCGTCAAACTTTAAGAGAAAATAGTATTTCATGATATTCCTGCTTTTAATTGAGATCTAGTTTGAACTACCTCATGAAAGTAATTTTTCATTGTCAATATGGCGTAAAATTTTAAGAATTTTCTGAATTCGGCACTAAAAGTTTGCCTGAACCTTTACTATCTAGCATTGATAAATCTCATTTTCGATGCTCTTTAATTTGGTATAAAGGTTGTTATGACTGCTATTTGAAATCATAACGTTACCCACCCTGTACACAAGTGACCGAAGTTTATTTTTTACTCGAGAAAAGTTATAAAGTTTTTTTCAACTGTGGTCGTTTTTGCTGTTTTGTATGAAGTGACTCGAGAGTACTAAACGGAGCTAAAAGCAACTGTTGATGGATAACGTCGATATTATTAGAATCTACTGTTATTATGTATAATAGACACATTTATGTTGATAGTAAGGGCTCATTGTTAATCTCGATTAGAACAGGATATGAAATGGTCAATATTTGAACAGTCAGTACTAATTTCGTTAAAATAAGCAAGACAAGAACAGTTGAACATTTTCAAAAGCACCACTAAGAAATAGGATTAATGTTTCTGCCGCTACAAACTCGATTTGCATTTTTCTAAACATATTTTCATGTAAATATTCCATCAAATAAGTCTCAAATATGTATTTTGTGATGGATTCTATGCAATAGTCACTTAATATAATTCTAGTCTATTTGTTCATATAATTCTGCTTTAGAATGTTGCAATAATCATAGTAAAGGACAATAGTGAGAGAAAGAGATATCTAATAACAGAATATTGAAAGATAAGTGAGCAACATATAATTGAGATCATTATTGTTATGGAATCTAGTTAAGACCTACCATAAGATACAAATAGTGATGTCAGTATTTTCGTATGCGATCGTTCTCTCTCTTTATTTCTTTCTATCAAATATTCTCCCTATTGTTTTCTCGTGGTTTTTTTCCTTGAGTAGTTTTCTGCTTTTGAGACATTAATGTATGCATTTTCCAACTGTATTATGTTATCTGCTGGTATACTCCCTCTTTCGCTAAACATCTGATTATATATATATATTACCGATGTTGCCTATTCGAGAGCAGTAGGAAACAAGATCAGCTTAATCAAGATTAAGAATATCTTTTTTAACTCCATAAATAAACTTCTATAAACCAGAACGAATTACGGATCTCATAATTATAAATATTAGATTGTTGCTTGATTGTATTCAGGAAGACATGTTAGTGATACTGACATATAATTTTAATAATGAATACGTTATAGTATTGATTAGCTCTTTTCTCTAAAATATTCTCCATTAGTTCAAAATTGATTAGCGAAAAAGAATGTAGCGAGTCCATTATTTCAATATGTTCATATAAATAACTTACTGATTAACTTTTTGCTGATTATCGGTATGGTTTTTTGAACAAAGGAAATTAGTCGCTCCGTTCAACTGTGTTAGACAGAAACTTCGTTCATCAGTTGCTCCGTAACAACCAATAATTTCATCATTACTATTGACCAATGGCAGACAAATCTATTCCGTTGTATTACGTAATAAACATGGATGTCCAACTAATCCGCGGCAAATGGAATGAAAGCATCGTGCCTTATCTGCTCCGTTCGGACAATTCCATACTCCATCACATCGTGTATATTAATTATCACATTGCCATCGTTCGCAATTTGTTTTATCTGTTTCCAATACATTGTTAATTTTTTCTATATAGTCAGTATAACCATCGCATAATGTAGGAAAATGAAGAAGTTGAATTTTTGATCGGCAATCATCTCGTTTTCCCAGCCATATATTCGTACTGAGTATGCATTGTGTAATATGTGTTCCTGTTATGCTCGATGTGCATTTTGAGCGGTGTTTATGATTTAGAACATAGCTCTCATTGTACTTTTCATCAATATTATCTGGACAATCACTATTATAATCGACTAGACGATGTTTCGAGATACACCTTTTACCACATTGAAATTGATTTTCTATAGAGCAATCATTTTCTTTACCATTTGTTTTTGAAGAACATTGCATAACCATTTGTCAACGAAAAGATCTTACTTGAGAAATTCAGTCTTCTCTATATTTTTCGATGTTTGGAAGTTCACAAGCAAGAATGAGAGATGGTTCACTGAGTTTTTTTAAATGAGTAACAGATTTAGAAATCGAACAATCTTCTTCATCATAACAGATGTAACCCGGCAAGTGATATAGTGCCTTTGTATGTAGTTGTTTGGTTCCATGAAGAAAAAAAATGTGCATGATGCCATCCAAGAGACTTTGCAGGAAATTCAAATAATGGTGGACAGTATTCCACCATTTTTGCACGACAAGGCCGACGCTGCTTCGAACAAATATTGTTACAACTACCGTTGAATAAATGGGCATAACTGGCATTATCCTAGAAATGAAAACACGTGCTATTTCATCAGTTGAAATAGAAATGTGTCGAATAAAGTCCGATTTTTAGTTTAGTAATTAAGAAAACATATGTTTGGAATAAATTGATTGTGGCTTTTTGAAAAATAAGAAAAGTCAACTTTTTAACATACGTACAAAAGAAATTCGCCGAGTTGCTTGAGCAAGACAGATCATAACAACCCAACATTCTTCTGTAATATGAGTATTAGCATTGTATGATAACAAATTATGCTCAAATGTTTCGAAAAGATGAGCTCGACAAGAATCTCTACCACATGATGGATTACAACAGGAGAGACTAGAATGCGTCCAATAAGGATATGTGATGTCTGTACATCGGAATGCTGGATCACCCTTATCACAATTCTTGGGGTATAGTGTTCCTTCCAGTGAATCTTCATCAGTTCGATCAAGACAATCTGGAGTAAAAACATTATCAGATAAAAATGTGTCTGGAATACATTGACCATTAAAACATCGATATTCGTTGGGTCCATATTCATTTTCTTTCAGCTTCTCACAATTTTGTTCATCCACAGGAATAGGCCAACAATCAACTTTTCCATCACATATCTCACGCCAATCCAAACACCATGACATTTGATCACGCGTACAATTCAAATGCAAATAACAAGTAGTACTTGATGAGACTGGATGAGTTTTTGTTAACACTTCTTTGACAAGGCGATCGAAAGGTACCTGTTACAATATAAAGATTACTTTTTTCTCATCAATATTTGCCTACAGCGCAGAACTGCAACGGTAATGATCATTTGCCAGCTCATTATCATCAATTTACTGGTCAGACCAAATCAGTAGTAAGCAGTTAGCAATGTTCATATTTTCGAGAAAGACAGTCTCTAATATTACTAATACAAGAGTAGATAACTGCGCCGATATTGGTATGACTGGTTGTCGACTTTCCTTTCCCCCTTTCCCCCTTTCTCTTAATCTTATCTATTAATTGTTCTTTCCTTTGTTTGTCTCTCCATGATTCTTTCCGATATTCATTCCTCTCTTGCACTCTCCTATATAACCTTATGTTAAATGTGAAGTTGGAACATTCTGGAGATGTGAAGCAGCCAAACAAACATCATTGCCAAGAATGGCAACCAGCTACTGATCGAGTTTGCTGTGGGTGTGAGTGTGTTGGTTTAGATATTCATTCCATTTATACGTACACCCACGTCTCTTATCCACACTCACACCTTAGAAGATCATCCACAAAAATTATATCAATTTAGAGTGATTTCCCAATCATTTTTGAAGTTTGTTCGAAGCATATTTCTATTGAGTCGGCTATTGGGAAAAATTGTACATAAGCCATGATCAGTACCTGTAGGTCATTGCTCAATCGATACTATCGATTTAGCTCATATTTTTCTATTATATAGAACTTCTGTTGATTCTCATCGGTTATCGTTGAAAGAATTAGCTGTGCACACCGACTATCGACCATAGCGGTTATCAGATCTTGCAGATTATTGGTAGAATGTTTACTGGTGAAGGGTCATCAGCAATGGCTACCAGTGTTTTATCCAGGTTTTTTGCTCCGGGGGGGCAAATTTACTTCTCGGAGGGGCAAGCGAAAATTTTAGCAGTTGAAAGTTTTTTTAAGGCGATTTTCTTATCTTGATATTGTCCGGAAGATAAAATAGACAGTAACGATGGAAATACTCCTCATCTCAACTTTTAAACAGAAAACTCCTGCAATTTTGAAAAATTTCGAAATAGTGATGCGCAACGAGAAAGTTCGACCCTGATTCAAGTTACTAAAGCATTATCATTGAATAATATTCACCAAAGTACGTGTTTGAACGTAAAAACTTCAACGAAAAAATGTTGAAAAAATATGGATGTGAACAGTAGCCCGAAATTTTTTTTGAAAAATTCTGCCCAGAAATAGAAATACATTACACTGTAGGATGATATTGATTGTCTAATGGAGATCAAACATAAATCAGAGAAGAGACAAGAAAAAATACTAGTTTCATTCTTTTCGCTCAGCAACTGTAAATAACAAATCATGTGCGTATTCCGTAGGCTCTCTAACGACACAATAATAGTGTACACGAGGTTCCCGTGTCATATGAACCGATCGAAAACCGTTGGTTAATTCCGGTTATTTTTGTGATTCATGGTTAACCGCGATTATTTTCTTTGTTCTCAAGCTTTCACAGCGTAAAAACCGACGGTTAACCGCGGCTAACCTCCCGCCTGACCGAAAAAGTTAGCAGTTCTGGCCAATATTTCTTCGGTCAACCTGGAGGTTAACCGCGGTTAACCGTCGGTTTTTACGCTGTGGAACCTTGAGAGCAAAGGAAATGACCGCGGTTAACTGTCAGTCACAAAAGTAGCCGGAATTAACCGACGATTTTCGATCGGTTCGTACGATATGAATTGAACCCCAATTATTATGGAATGTCGGTCTTCCTTCTAAATTGGTGCTAAACAAAACACTCATATGGCGAATTATAAGTGACTCAAGCCTATTGAAACTACAACAGTTGAAGTCATCACAATAGATTTTTAGTCACATAACAGTGCTTTATAGAACCCTTTTAATTAATTGATAATAGGTACTACTTGCCACCATTATAACTGGTTAAAACTCTAGACTAGTAGAGTTAGACCAAAAACAATGAACTATAATTATTGAGAGTCATTATTTATGGAAAATACTACTTTTTTCGGTAATTGTTTTTCATTTCAATATTGTATGTGATATTTTTCTAATACAGTAAATGATTTTGTTCATTTTTGGTCCCATGACATTTCCTCCAAATTTTCATCGAGCGAAAAGTTTTAGACAAGCAGTACTGCTCGTTTTTCTTCCTGAAAGATATTTCAAATTATTCGGGAGGGAGCCAATGCAATCTCCGGAAGAGTGCAGTTCGTCCTGCCCCCACGCTAGATAAAATACTGATTCTATTTTAACAACATCAGATTAATTAACAACTCACAAAATCTGTCGTAAAAAATAATTTTAGAACAATTATATTGATTTTTTTAAAACTTATTTCATTTTTCTCGGGGGGGCAAACGTGGTCTCCGGGGGGGGCAAAATGTCCCATGCCCCCCCACTGGATAAAACACTGATGGCTACTAATGGACCGGCTACCTTCATTATTGCATCCCTACTACTCATCATAGTTGACAAAATGCGCTTCGAGTACAGTGTTGCAGTTTTTAAGAGACTTTTCAACTCTTTTTAAGGTACGTTTCTTTTATAAAATGTGTTGAAAATCAGAAGTGCATTTATGTAGTTAGTAACATAATCTATTTGGCAACAAGTTGCAGAAATGATCTATCGGGAATGGGAACAAATGTCAAAATGAAATTAATTTTTTTCTCTTGTCTTATCAATCAATACTTCAAAGAGAAAAGATGTTTTCATTTTTACATACAAACCTGGGAGTCAACAGAGTATTGACAGAATTGACCAAATTTATGTTTCGAAGAACAATTGTAGAATATCGACAAGGATGCAGTAATTCGATCATCGATAAAATTTTGACGAAAAGCTTCATATTCTTCGATAACATCTAGATGAGCTGACCACGAATATAACTAAACGCCAGTAACATTACGCTGATGCAAATCATGAAACGTCAATGCTGGAATATCACGGTCAATTGTAAAAGATCCTTCTTGAAAATTATCACATTGACAAAAAGAAACGATTTGATGTTCCATTCGATATGATTGTTCAAGTTCTGGATTATAACTTGTAATATCCTCGTTTGCGTAGAAATCCAAACAATTATCATCATCATATGTATTATATTGACCATTCAGCAGATCATTGGATGAAAAGAATATAAGAAATAGGAAAAGCGATTTGAACAACATGATGCTAAAATGTTAAACTTTGCCCAGGAATGTAGAATTTTATATGAAAACTTAAATTAATCTTTATATCAAGCACACCTGCTCAACATACTCATTAATCATTTTGACTTATAGGTGTTTTTTTCATAAAATATGCTAGAATAATACTCTCATATTACATACTGCTATTGTGAAGTATTTACTCGCCTTATATCGTGTAAAAATTAAAAACAAGCATTCTAATTATCTCATGAATGATCACAGATTAGAATTAGTTGATGAATTCAAATATACAAGTTTTACTTAGACAAATAAGATGTTCTTAAAATCGATAGTTGATGAACGTCTTGATAATACAGAAAAAAGTTCAGTAAATTAAGATGTATGAAAAATGGTAACACTCTCTCAGAAGACGTCTTTTGAAAATGTTTATTGAGTATAGTTTCTCTTGCTTTGTTTGAATATTTCCCCATATTCCTTCCTACCCACAACGCGAAAAGCATTTTTAGCCCTAAGTGACACTTGCACTTGATTTCTCTTCTTTCTTCTCTTCTCTATGTGACTACTTTTCGATAGTGTTGACCTTGAAGATGCACTTCTGTCTCTCCCTTTGTGTAACAGCTATACAAATGTGTATTAATAGTGATATAAATACGACCACTGTGATAAAGTAGCTCAGTAAAACTCATTGTCGAAAGTGGCGACAAAGCTACTCCTCAAATTCATCACAGCATTAATCTTGAGAAAACTTTGAACGGATAACGAATGGCTCATCGCTGCCTACTTGTTCAAACAACAAACCTTCTTCGACAAATAAATGAAGTATCAGTGAGTGAGTATGTAAAATAACGTATAAGGAAACGAATAAAACAATTCGAAAAAACGAAGGCACGGTACTTGATTTTTCACAATGATGTATTTTATTTCATTTGTATTTATACGAATAAAAATAATCGTCTGAAACATTTCTTTAAAATTAGAAGCGTGATGCATGTATGCACGGCATCAAATATTGCTTCTTCGGTGTCTTGAATTTTTCTATTCATGTAACACCTGCCATGTTCTTGTTTGCTACTTTTTTCTCTTCATCTGTTGCATTTGTCTATTCTCTTATTTTTCCTCTTCACTGTTGTTTTGTATGTCATCTTTTTCTTTATTCCTCTCTTCTACTGATTTTTGAAAATTTCTTCTATCATCAGGTTTTTTCACACTTTTTTATTCGATTTTATTTCTTCCTGACAATTCACATGTTTTTTCCTTTTATTTGCTCCTTTGATATCCTGACAAGCCTGAGCCAATATGTATTATTACTATATTGATGATAAACTATGAAACGTTTTGCATTAAAGACGCTACTTTTAAGTCGAATATCTCAATTTCTTTTTCTATTATATAAGCACTTCGAAGATTTACATCTATCAGAAATATTTTAAAGAAGTAGAATCTAAAGTAGTGAAAAAAACTTAACGACCAATAGAATGTGCTCGTATTGATCATGTTTTATTCAACACAAACAAGTAGCGATTCTATTCCTAAGGATGTCATTCGAAAGAGTAGAGTGTAACTGTCCCGATAAACTACTTTACTTTGAAAGTAAAATAAACATGAGGTAGCTCAACAATTTCATTCATGAGATCTACAGAATTTCCATGAACAAAGTAAGTTCCATATAGTTTTCAAAACAGTAATATAATATCGAAGGAGAGAGTGTATTCCAAAATCTTTATCGGGAAACTAACACTATTATTTCAATAGAATCAGTAACAAATTCTATACCAAACGAAAGGGCGTGAAAAATGAGATTTATCAGTATTAACGACTAAGAATTATGACAAATTATCAGTACGAAATCAAAAGATCTCTAGAAATTTCTGCAATACAGTCGTGATTACTTATTAGTAATGAGCCACGCAATAAAAAAGGAACCTTTTTCCGCGGATATTGGCAGATATATAGTTGTGGATGTGAATTAGAAGGCTCACATCTACACTCTGTTCCTTCATATTTGTATTGTCTGCAAACTTACTGTTTGTTCTTTTCTTCAAATTTTTCTGATTATGAGACATACTTCTCATTAGTATAAGTGTCAGTGTGGTCGTGAAGTTTGGATGTTGATATTCTGTTCAACCACACTCACCCACATCCATCAGCACTCATACTCCACACTAGGTATGTGACAGCTCAGCTCGAGCTCACGACAGCTGGAGCTGGTCAACCCACTCTCATGAACTAGAGCTGGTTGACCAGCTCAAAGAACGATGAACTGGTAGCTTTTCTCTACTATCATGAGGACAAAGCATACTATTGTTCGGACCATATGAGAGGCACTCCTGACTAATCTGGAATTGTTCCGAACGATACCATGTTTTATCTTTACAATAGTAGAGAAAAAATACCAGCTCGTCGAACTCTGAGCTGATAGCTTTGCTCTACTCCTGTAAGGAAGAAGCATACCATTGTTTGGGTCACATGAGAGAGGAACTAGATAACTCCTGGGTTCGCCCGAACAGTATCACGTTTCATCTTTACAATAACAGAGAAAAACTTTGCTGAAATCTGATTGGCTACGAGCTTTTTCAATCAACCAATCAGAGTTTTTCTCTACTACCGTAAGGATCAAGGATGTGAGTGTGGGTAAAGGAATAATTACATGCACACCAACACCCACACCCTGCACTCACAGCCACCCCACACCCACGCCTTACTTTGAAAAACGAAATTCACCGATATAGTGCACATTATACCGATCTGTGTATGCCGGTGATAGTTATCATACAGAATATCTTGTTGGTTGTTATAACAATAGGGTACTAGTTTATTTGTAGTATTGTAAGTAATATCAGAAAAGGCTGTTATGAACTAAAGACTACCAATACAAACACTTATTAATGCTAACTAAACAAGGAACAAAAAAATACAAAACAAGTTGGTAGGAAAACAATGAAGAAAAAAAGGAAGGCGACTTTAACAGATAAAATGTGCAAACGAAAGAAAGTGTTTATACTTTTTTCAAACTTTCACTGGATCATATTTTCACTTTTTTCTATCGGAGAAAACAAACAAAATAACAAAATGATATGAAAAAAAATAGATGTATTAAGCAATGAGAAGGTCTTCGTTAATCTTTGTTATGATGCCTATTATCTTCACTTATTAGAAACACGAAGAAAGTATTCTCATACTTTTGTAGCAGATGCTAATGCAAAAAAGACAGCACACATCTGTTGGATTCTATAAAGTTTTTAGAATTCAAATGTTGTTGGTATAATGGTGGAAGATATACATGCGGAAATATTATTACTTTTTCAATATTGAGTCAAAAACAAGAGAAAAAAAAACATTGTAATATAGTAAAAACTCTATTCGACAAAAATGCTATTTTTTGTTTATTTACTTTCATGCATATTTAGAAGACTTTCTCTTTATATCTACGTTTCTTCTCCTATTGCCAACCAAAAAAAAATGGCCTAACACAAATAAAATCTAAAAGCTTTAGTTTTCATAATATAAACATAGATGCATATAAAATTTCTATCGACTATAGAAGGTTTTTGACTAAAACATTGCATCTCAAACAAACAGAACAACACAAAGACATACAACTACAAAAAAATATTCTTTGCTTTCTTTTGCGCACAATCGATAATTGAAAAAAAAAGAACATTCAAAAGAAATAATGCAACGTATGTTAAACAAAAATTAAAAAGATACTATAATAATATATTTGTTTTTGCTTGTTCTATAATGAGCAAGTAAAAAAAATCAATAATATCTCATATTGCTTTAATTTCAAAAAATAAATAACTTAATGTTTGGTATAATTTTGAAATAAACTGGAATCATTGGGTAAACGACGAGCATAAGATTTCGCTTTAGCATTCCAATATTCAGCATTTTCTTTCAATTTATTCATATTATTCACTACTAATTGATCAGGAACACCATATGTTGGCACATCTGATTGTGTATCATAACCAAGTTTCTTAAGCATTGGTGCTAATGTATCTATTTCCTTTTTGACATCGTCCGGAATATGACCAACCCATCTAGTTAATGCTTCTAGATTGATTGGTTTAATAACTTGATCAGATGAATGTTCAGTTCTAAAATAAATAAATAAAATTCATTTTCTCTTTGTTTCTTTTTCTTTTGTTAAACTTACTTTGAAAGAGATATTTTCTTTCCAATAAATTCTTCATGATGTAATACACTATCAACCCAAGTTAAATTTAAAAATTTCAATATACTTTCAATGGTCTTTTTTGGTTGTAAAACTAATTGTTCATAATAAACAAGTAAACATTTATCTTTACCAACTAATGTACATTGATCCATCATTGCTTCCATACCTCGATTCCATACTTTAAAATTTTGTTTATAATCACTTAAATTAAAACCAGTTATTGTTACTTTACGTGTAATTACAGAATGTATAACAGCACGTGCATCACGTACTAATAAAAGGAATTTTGCATTAGAAAATATTGATGCTATATATGATGCATATTTAAGTACAAATGGATCTTTATCACAAAGAACATCAGCATATTGATTATGACGAACAAGAATCTCATAAACGAAGGCACGTATAGCAGAATCAATCATTTCTTCAGTCATACCACCAGCCATAAGTCTATTAAAAGAAAAAAGTGAATTTTTATTAGAGAATCAATATTTTTTTCAGACACTTTTGACGATTATTAGTAGCATGTTTAATATCGAAATCTTTGATTAATATGCACTCTATATCCTAACTAATTAATCCAGACTGATTGATATAGCATTAAAGTCAACCAAATTAATAAAAGAGAACACTAGTATTAAATCAAAGTAATGTTATGTAAGAAATAAAAATTTGTTTCATTAATCATCAAGTAACATGAATAGTTTTGGTATTTAAAATGATTTATCACACTTGAATGAAGACATGAAAATTTTTATCTTCGATATTGTTTACTTTTCTTATAAAATAGCACTAGTTGTCTCAAACTGTAATGGACGATATTTCATGTGTGCTTTCTCATGAGAAATAGTTTAACGTGAAATAACCGGTGAGTCAACAAGATAACATCTTTTCTTTATTGAATTGTTAATTTTTTATTGATTTTTACATGAGTGCTAAGAGTTCATTCGAATAAAAGGCAATTGGACTGTTCTCCAATGGAAAATCAATCATGCTATTCGCGAATGAATTTCGTATCCTGATTTTTACAGAAGAGAAATTTTATTAGTTAATTTTCTACATAAAAAAAAAGATTTTAATGTACACAATAATTCTTCGAAAATTTTCTCCTACATGTGTGTGTATGTGGATGCATATGAGTAAGTTCATCAGGTCTGTTATTAAACGGCATGAATCAGAAAAATTCATTCAGAACATTTGGAATCTGTGAATAATGTCAATCATATCATTCAATGAATTAATTATTTAATAGTTATTATTTTAAAAGTATTAAATTAATAAAACAAACAAAAATATTCTGTTGACAAGTATAACTAACTAACCTATTCCATTCTAGAGCTGATTTCTTCCATGCTGCTCTCATATTTAATATTCTTGGTATAACTCTTGTTTCTTCTCCACAATGAACAACTGGATGTGAATCAAGAATAGCACGCATTAATGTTGTACCACTACGTGGCATTCCACCAATAAATATCACTGGTTTTTCTAATAATAATTTGTAACTTATATTTTGTTGTTGTTGAACTATATTTTGTTGTGATAAACATTTTTGCTGAAGAGTTGATATACGAAAAGTAAGTATAATAATAACTAGCGTTAAAACAAGAATAAAGAAACAAAGAAAAGGATTACGTATTGTACGTTGACACATATTGAATAATAGACGACGACACATAGACAACCATGACATCACCACTTCTATTAGATATTCATATCTAGAATTACACAAATCAAAAAAAAAAGATTCTAATCAACAATCAATTCTTGTCTTTATTTTTATTCCAAAAAAAAAGAATTTTTGAAGTACAATGACACACAAGTGTATATTAATCAACAAGTCGTGATAATAATGTTTGACGACGACGACTTCTATTTAAAAATAAGGAAATAAAAATAAAACTGATCAAACAAAAAGTGAAAGCAAATAAATCACGTACGTGCACGTTAAATCTGATTCAGCATCAATCAATAAAGGAAAACCAATTGATAAGCGCCATATTTGTTGAGCAAGTAATGTAAAATGTTGTGATGGATCACTAAGTGAACTTCCAATCGATGTCATTGGTGAATAAACAATATCTAACATCAAGGATCGCTCCAGTATCTAAAATATTACTCATACACAATGTATTATCTAATCGTTGCTATGCTCAATTTCTTATTTATATTCATTATAATGATGATTAAACATGACCTTGGATTTCAAATAAAAATTGTATTGTTTGACTCTTTTTTTCCCTTATCTCTGTTCAGTCTTTAACAAAGGATCTATCTAATATCGCTCGGACTCATATTTATACCACACATACATGTCTTGTTACTCGATGCATCCAGCAAGTTTGAGCCATGAACAACAAGACTTTGTTGATAAGGCTACAGCATTAATTTTTCATAATTCATGAAATGTCACAGAGCATCTTTATTGAAGTCAATTATATTACTTAAAAACAGATTTTTGAGCATGATTCTCTTACAAGTATGAAATATGAATAATCCTTTGTCAATAGTGGAAAAATCAGTCCATATGATCGAAATATGGTAAAGATATTCAAATTTTTTTTTGTTTAGTTCCCACATCCACAAAAATATAATCTATTGCAGAGTTTTTATTTTCTAAATGCATTCAATTTCAACGAGCAGAAAAAAAATGAAAACAAAGAAATGATATTCAATTCAGAAGGCATTCGAAAATCTAACAACATTTATATTTCTGTTCGAGAAAATAACAAGCTGCTTATGTAGCATAATCTTCAATTATTTCAACATACTCTCTCTAATAAACAAAAAAAGAGAATTCTAAGTAAGATGTAATTTTGTTACAACTAATAAATTATTCTTAATTCGATCAAATGATATACCATATATTGTTCTCTAATTTTCATCAATGATCCTTCATAGTACAAATCTTATCAAATTTCTAGAGAAAATTCTTACTTTAATATTTTCACTATTAGCTCTTGTTCGTTCTATTGTTTTATTTCCGTTTGTTGGTAATAAAAGTTTTAATAAAATAATTGATCTTGCTTGTGGATAATTAGCCGGTATAAAAATATGAGCATATAATACTATTTTATTGTTATCATCTTGTGATAATGATTGAAATTTACATTCATATATTGATGTTGTTATACTATCAATTAAATTTTCATTAATAAGTATTTGCATATATTCATATTTATTGATATCATCAAATGATATTTCACGCCATGAACGTAATGTTGTTAAATTATTTATTGAACGACGTAATGATGAATTAAGTATAGTTGTTGTTTCATTACCTTCGGCTAATAATGGCATTTCATTTTTTTCTAAATTAATAAGTATTCGATCAAGTGCTATACGTGCACGCATACGTTGTGTTAAACGTTTAATTATTTCTGAACAATCCGTTACAAGTTCTTGACGTTGTAATGGAACCATTTGACATTTACATAATTGTTGAATCCAATGATATGGATAACCACCAATTGCATCAGAGAATATTGGTGCTGATTTTCTTCAAAAAAACAAAAAAAAAGAAAAAGAAAAATTTAAGTTTACTTTTTTCGTTTTCTATTTACCCTTGTTGTTGAAAAAGAAAATCAGTTGTTGGATTAGGTGATAATTGACCATTATCATTATCATCAAGTAAATTATGAAGAAGAGTTGATGTTAATGTTTGACTAAAATTTTTAAAAATAAAATATTTTGTATTTCAATTCTTTTCATTTCTTTTTGTTAGGTATCGGTAGTTTGAAAATAAATTTTGAGTATTGAGGATGGAGATTTTTTTGTCTGATTCTAAAAATGATATTCGTTTATTTTGGAAATAAAGTTCAGATGGTGAAAGATATCAGAATATGAGTCAACTTTTATGACTTTACTATTGTATCGAAAAAATTAAGACTTTTCTGATTTCTTTAAATGCCAAAGTTTCATTACAAAGTCATCGACTGAATGTGTCAAAATCAATAGTTCTTTAGGTAACTTGACGAGCTCTATCCAACCATGACAAAAAAACGATTTTTGTTCAAATTTGGATTTCTTGATACTTTACCTTTGTTGAGCTTTAAGACCAGATAGTTTTCCTTGAACGGTAACTATATTTAATTGCGTTAAATATGAAAATATTAATTCGCTTGTATGATCAGCTACAACCAAAACGATTAAATATATTATTAGATGAAGAAAAATATAATAATAAATATTTACGAGAAAGTATTAATGTCACTTTCACATGTAATGGATGTTGACGCAATAAAGATTGGTATTGAAGATCACCATTTGTATATGTACCATCTGAATTAGTATCATTCGTTGTATTATTTGTTGATGAATCTTCTTTTGAATCAATTTGACATGTTATATGACGGCCTATGAATAGAAAAATATTCGACAAACTTTTATATGAAATAATGTTTTAGTTTCTCATCTATATCAAATATTTATGAAATGAAAAACAATTAACACATAATATAACGGATGGGTCAGAAAAATTGCACTCTTAGTATTTTCAAAATTTCTTCTTGATTATTTGTTTAATTGAAACATTTCGGATTAGACATAATCGCCTAGTAAAATCAATTGCAGAATTTGAAATTTTCTCTTTTTTTGTTACTTGTTTTAACGAAACATTTTATTTCGTCTATTAATGTTACTTTTGTTGTAGTTTAGTCTCAGCTAATTCCATAAGCTATAACCTACGGGGGCATAAATCAGTGGAAGGTCTTACATCGTCTCATTATTTTCTAACACTTTGTTTTCGAATATTAGAGTCATTAGAAGAACATCAGTAATGTATTAGGCGATGGAATAAACTAGCTAAAACTATGAATTGAGTCTAGATAACAACATAGATAGACGAAATAAAATGATCCTTCAAAACAATTGAAAAAGAAAAAACTTTACATTCCGTACTTTATTTTACTGAAGGATTACGTCTGATCCTAAAAATGGAAGAGGTTATATTTGTTAAATGAACTAGGACATTTTGTACAAAATTTCAAGAGCAATACTTTGATAACATATTAGTTGTTTTAATCAACGGAGTAATTAAGTAGAAACTTTGAAAATGCTAAGAGGGCCGTTATTTATTAGTGTTCTAAGAAGATATATGAAGAGAAAAAGAAAAATTAAAAACAAGCGACAAAAATATAGAGAAAACAGAAAAACAACATTTTCTTCTTACACAGAATCTCTTGAGACTAATTTTGATTTCATCATTACATGTTGATTATCATCATACCGATGCTCAAGATTAAGCTTGACAAGCACACAGGAAGCCAATATGTCAAAACATACTTACATAAATTTAGATAGGAAACAATTATAATCAGAAAGCTTTAGCATAACTCATTATCTCTCTTATCTGAATTCCTCTGCGAAATTTAATATCTTCCGTACGAGAATGAGATGCTGAAAATAGCAACAGAAGATTCACCTGGATTAATTCTGATTTCTCTCAAAATTGAAATCTTAATTACTACAATTATGTCAAAACATGTCTAGTTTCCAGACTATTGAACTGCGAAATCTTAAAAGAAAAGCTAATGGTGACATTATTTCTAAACTTGCACAATCTTAATAATCTATTGAGAAAAACCCTCTGAAATATTGTGATATCATCCAAAGTTTACGTAGTACTATATTATCTTTAATTGTTTTGTGAAATATTAGCTTCATTTTATGATTCTTGTATAGAAAGTCGTTCGTGAAATCCGGTGTAGCTGCTCTTGTTAATCATAAGCAGACTATGTTATTCTATCCGTTTTGAGATACATATCTTTATCATCCTTTTACTTACGAGAGAACCTCTTCAGATGTCCTCTGTTTTGACTTTTTTGTCTATAGATACGACATAGTGTTCTAACAAAAACCTTAAAAGAATTTGGGCTACTATGAATGTTGGACTTATCTATTGAATTTTTAATATGTCTGTTTTCTAAAGAACTCAGCTTTTCAGAAAATTCATATTTTGAGTTGTTTCGATCGGAAACTTTTTGCATAGAGAGAACTCAACATATAGGAGTTTTCACTCTCAAAAAAAAAAAACTACATGTTGTCTACTGTGTGAAGAGATTCTTTTGTCAGTTCTCCAAAAATCCAATTCGTACATACCATCACATTGTTGATAAGCCAAAACAAGACTATAAAGAACATAGAGTGGATCTGGTAATTTCGCAATTGATGGGTTGTTAATCGATTGAGAAAAATTGTTTGTATCATCAAATTGAGATTCAATATACCGACGAACAGGATCTGTTGACTTTAAATAGAAAAAAGATAATAAATTAATGTCATTTTTCTTGTTATAAATAAATGAATTTTTAGTTTTTACTTTAACGACTTGTTTAAGTTTAGGTCGTAATGAACGAAGTCGTTTTCGTCGACGAACAATTTGTTTTTTAAGATCACTAATTTCAGTTTGTAATGCTTTACAATCATCATGTAATCTACAAAATAGAATGTAATTGTATTTACAAAAGAAAACAACAACAATAAATAAATATGATATTAACTTTTCTCTTTGCATTAATTCCCAATCAAGTTGAAATAAATGAAGTCGATGAGGATCATTCTCAGTAATATTCTAAAAATAGTAGTAGTTTCTTTTTTACAAAAATAATGATTCAAGAATATGATATATTACTGGATCAGTAAGTTCAGGTGGTGCATTTGCATAAAAATCTTCTAAACTAACTAATTCTAATTGTTCATCTTTTGATCTAAATAAGATAATAATCAAAAACAAACAATTTTATCAACAGAAAAAAAGTATCTTACTTAAATTCTTCACAACGTGCGATTTCTTTATTAATATGAGAAAGTTCATAAAGAAGATTTTGTTGTTCAAGTGTTTGATCATCAAGACGACTTCGATGCTAAAATAAAATATACAACTCTATGCATTTAAGCAATTACTCAAAAAATAATCAAATAAAAAAACCTCAGCAGTAAGTTCTCGAGCTTTTTGTACACGCATACGACCAATTCGATTAAATGAACGAAGTTTATTACATAGATGCATACCACGTGCATGAAGTTGAGACAATTCTTCTTTCTATTACAAAAAATAAAAAATAAAAATAAATAAATAAAATAAAAGACAAAGACATTCTTAGATTTTTGATTAAAAAAGAAAACCTCCTATTTTATTCTAAAATTTAATAGATATACCTGCTGTGCAATCATGACAACGAAAAAATATATGAAAATAACATCAAATAAAACTTTGGTATAGATGAAATCATTCTTCATACAGCAAATAGAAACGATCAATGTTTTCATTTGATTCTCATCAATCAAGTGATAATGATTTCGAATCGATAACTCGTATTTTTAATGCTAGTTCATTACTTCAATGTCCATTATGTAAAAAAGATATTCAAGATCCACGGATACTTTGTTCAAATGGACATACATTCTGTCATAACTGTATCAAAGTACTTTATCAAACTACATATTAAACTTTGAACTAAATAATTTCATTCATATTTTTTTTTATAGGAGGCTCTACCTGCTGATGGTGTTCTTAAATGTCCTACTTGTCATGAAGCACGTCGTCTATCGAGTGTTCAAGAAGTTGGACAATTAACAAAAAATCATACATTATTAACATTAAAAAAAGCTGAACATCATCGTCTTGCACAATTAGGTATATGTGAATTATGTAATAAAAAAACAGCTTATGGTCGATGTTATCATTGTCGATCATTAGCTTGTTTTAATTGTATGGATGAACATGAACGAAATCTTGCTAATGAACAAGCAAAAGAATATGCTGAATTAATTAAAATACGTGATAATTTAATAGAAAAATTATCTCATTGGGATAATAAATTAAATGAATCAAAAGAAAATATTCGTCAATTGATTCATAATGATGCTGAAAAACAAATCAAAGAAATTCAAGGTACAAAACAAAAAAAAACAGGATTTCATTTTATATTGAAGTTTTATTACTGATTTTTTTTTTTTTTTTTTTGAGAACGAGAAAAAACTTTATATACACAATTAGATGATCTTCATCAAAATTATCTAACAACAAAAAATTCTAAATTACAAAAATTAAAATTTGATATTGAAAAAGATTCAAATGAATTAGATAAAGTTGATCCAAAAAATTGGAATTTATCTGAACGACAACATTTAACTCAACATTGGCTTGATTTACAACGAAAATTTGATGATCAACAAATTAGTTTTATTTATAAATCTAATACAACACCAATAAATCATTCTTATCTAGGTGAAATTCATCTTAAAACAGCAAATCAAGATAATGAACATTTAAAAGTAGCTCGTCTACCACAACAACATACTCCATTACTTGATCCATTTGATTATCAAGATGGAATATATCGATCTAATCAAGTAAAAAAAAACAAAATAATACAAAGCTTGATTTTTTTTAACAAAGAAAACAAAGATTCAACAATATTTTTTTTTTGTTTTGTTTCAGATGATCAGTGGACGTGAATCAAAAACAAGAACAAGAAAACGTATGATTGTAACTGAACAAAATCCAACAGCAAATTCTAATATATTTTTAACTCAACCAATACCAGCATATTATGATAATGATCATGAAGGTGCTTATCGTGGTACAGGTTATTCTGTTAAATTTAGTACTAAAATTGATGGTTCAACATCAAGAAATCGTTCAAGACTTGATGATCATCATCAAATAGAACAAGAAGGTAATGAATATGCTGTAAGAAAAGTTCTTCGTTCAAATCAACCTTATAATTTAAATTTATCAAATGCTTTTGAACAACAATCACAAATTGATGATAATACAGTATTAACACCACGAATGCCTGTATCACAAATACATCTTAATGAATATAGTAAAAAAGCAATACAAGTTTTAACAGGTCCAAATGATGTTGATAAATTTCTTGCACCTAAAGCTATTGTTGTTACTGATACAAATCATTTATTAATTGCTGATACAAAAAAACATCGAATCATTGTATATGATCTTAATTTAAGAACAATGCGTGGTCTTAAAGGTTTTCTTTTTCCTGATGGACTTTGTTTAGCTGGTGAACAATTTGTTATTATAACAGATCGTCATCGAGTTTCAAAATATGATTGGTTTAATGGAAAAATGATTAATTTTATTGGAAGTAAAAAAGAAGGTTGTACACAAACATCATTTTCATGGCCAAAAGGTGTTGCTATTGATAATAATTATATATATGTATGTGATTCTTATAATTCACGTATGGTTGTACTTAATCATCATATGAAATATAATAATGAATGGATTATTATGCGAGGTTCAAAAAAACTTGATCCACAATATATTTCAATATCAAATAATTTACTTTATGTAACAGCATGGCAAAGAATTAAACCAGAATCATGTGCTTATAATGCTGGATGTATTATTGTTTATGGTTTAGATGGTAATGTACAACGATTTATTGATACAGATGCACAATCTTATCTTAATTTAAGTATACCAGAAGGTAAGATAAGAATTATTTCGAATGATTAATTTTTGATTTCTTTTATTAGGTATTATTTGTGATAGTTCAAATCAATTGATTCTTGCTGATCGTTATAAATCAAAAATTTTAGCTATGCATGATGGTAATCAAGAACAAGTTATTCATTTTCGTGGTGATAAAATGAAAGCACCACATTATGTTTGTTTTTCTAATGATCAAAATATAATGATTGTTACTGATGTTGGAAATAATACAGTACAATTTTATGAGAAAAACAAATAAAATACATTTTGCTTCTTCTCGTAAATAATGAAAGAACAGAGAAATAGACACCAATTTTATTTCTTTTTGTGTAGTTTTTCTTATTCAAATAAATAATTTTGAAAATTCATTTTTGCAAATTGTGGTTTTTTTTTAGCAAGAAAAATTAGACTATGAAGACTTACATGTTTATCTGGTTCTTGTTGACAACGATGAACTTGAAGAAAAATATTACGTAATTCATTAACACACTGACGATGCTGTTCATCATCTTCTTTTTGTTGTTGAATTTTATTTGAAGACTAAGAAGAAAAATCATTTATACAACTTACACTATAAATAAAGATCAATACGAACTTCATCCATTGAAATTGATTCAGTCATATCAACATTATTACTCATTTTTATTTAATCTAAAGAAAACAAAAAAAGAAGTTTGTTGCATGTTTAAGCTTAATACACTTTTATCTTACAAATGCATTCATCTTCTTACTCACGAGCCTATTAAGTTAATTGGAAACTTTTACAAAAAGAAGATTGCATGAAAACTATAGTGCACATCATAAAAACAACTATGACAAGTAAAATGAAGTTAATTCATAGATAATAAATTTAATTTTTCAAAATCAATAGTCACTTTCGTTCAATATTGTTCGAATATTATAAAAAGAATTCTCTATCGGAAGATATAATTTAATTTTCAATGCTTTATATATTAGTATAAGTCTTGTTCAACTATGTCTTAAATGACTTCAGGCTAATCTATTTTCTTGAGTACAAAATAACATGAAAATTTTATTTAATAGAAATATTTAAACTCTGGAGATTATTATTAATATGTGTCAACATCCATCACATAATGTTATCTATAGAATTAGATATATTTCTAACATATTCTAGAAAAATATCTTAACAAAATTGTTATTAAGATGTAATATAAATTTCGAATTATTTTTATAATTTAATATGTATTTATAAAACAATTACTGTTTTATTCTCATTAGATTTAATTCAAGATATAAAATCTTTAAAGATTATGTTAAACTTTAGATAAAAAATTTAATTAGAAACTACAGTGAAAGTATTATTGTTAAAAACATGAAACAATAATATTAATTCTGTACTTTTTTAAAATGTTTTGTGAAAACTTATTGTTTTTAATTATTAGCTAACTATACTGAAATTCAAGAAAACAGCGAAAATTTACAATATAACATTACTGCTATTACCTACACACATAAAGTAGTGAAAATCGCCTTCTCAGAAAAAAGAAACAGCTTGTAAAAATGAAATGACATGTTACAACAATAAACAATACAACTTAAATTTGTAATATATTGATTGTATTGCCATTCTTAACAGTCGGAATGATTGTCCTGTGTACTGATAAATCATTCTAAGAGTAAACATTTTTTTTTATTTTATTTTATAATTCATAACATAAGTTAATTATTAACCGATACTTTCGAATCAATTATAAATAAAATTTTTCTGTAAATGATATTTTCAAAAAGAAAAGCTAAATTATATACTGAAGAGATCACGCCATAGAAACAATCAGTTTTAATGGAAAAAAAAAGAAACAAAAGAATGTGTGAAATACGATTCTGTTTAATCGACAAGCTCTTTCAATAAGATAAGAACGTCAATTGTATAAGATAAATAAATCGGCTTAGGTTAACAAATAAAACAAAACAAAAAAAACATGAACAAGAAAAAGAATAAATTCATAAAATGTCAACTGACCTGAAGTATGAACTTGCTATTGCTGAATGTAATTCTTTACGTCGACAATTAAAAGATGCTTATAATAAATGTTCAGCAATCTATGAAGCACTTACAATACTTGATGAACATTCAACAAAAGAACGAGATTTACTTGAAAATTTAATATCTGATTTAAAACAAACATTAGAAAATGAATTAGAAAAAAATAGAAATTTATATGTTGACAAATTACAAAATGAAAAAAAAGAAAAATTTTTTCAACAAGAATTACATTATAAAACACAAGATCTTAATAAAATAATGATTAAATATCGGCGACTTTATATAAATCAACAACAAGAAAAATATATTCAAGATAATTTTATTATTCGAATGAAGAAATAAAATTAATTATTTCCTATCTAACGAGTTTGAAAAACATTTCTTTCTTATTGATCAAATTCAATAACATCAAGCGCTAATCAATAACAACGATCTACATAATTTCGATAGAGGTCATTATCATTTTGTTTAGATGTTTTTTTTTCTTTTTGTTCTTTCAAAAAAAAATAATAATAAAATTGAAATTTAATGGAAGAAATAAAGGTTCGTTTTGTTTGGATTTTTAAAAATGACTTATATTCAAAAAGATTATATTGAACAGTTACATCGTTCATTTTTTTTATATATGATATAGAGAGAATTCGATGGAAATTAAAATTGTAAAAATAATAATTATTCTTTTAGTCAAGATAAAATAAATCTTTAGTAGCATTTATTTAATTAACATGAGTTAATCATCATATTGTTAGTATTATTTTCAAATAAACAAGTTCAATGATTGTGGAATATTTCTAAAGAATAATTTGATCAGAATAGTATTGTCAATCGAATAGATTAGACGATTTGTCTTTTGAGATTATTTACAATAGATATTAACGAATTAATACAGTACTGTTTTCATTGAATATTTTATGAAGTGAAAATATTCAAGGTATATTAAGTATGACCTGCGTTTCACTATCGATAGTTATGTAAGCCCAAGTCAAGCAGGAGCGATGGTATATGACCGTATATGAAGAAACACGATGATTTTACATGGTCCTGTATTATGATCGCATATTTCCTTGTCATATACGGTGATTCAAGTAGAATAAACACGCTTGATTAGTGTGCATACATGAAAGGCGTATACAGCCTCCGCTTTGCTTCGTATATGATCATTTTGTTCCGTATACGTTCATAGAGATATACGATTGTAATAGCACAGAATACAGTTGTATGGAGACTCCATATTCCTCGATCTACCAGTACTCATATACACATGAAAGAATTAATCAAAAATTTTCAAGGAGATTTATTCTCAACATTCAGCAGTGTTAACTTTTCTTATTCAAATCATGACAATAATTTAGCATAGATTTTTCTGTCTCAGTATTTATTCGATATTGTAAATTGATCTTTTTTTTTTGATATTTCTTTTGTCATCAAATAAATAAGTTATATGCAATAATTTATGTTTCTTTTTTTTCTATTAATTTACAGGATGACAATACATCATCGTTTATACAATCTCAACTTCATTCCATAATAGCATCTCAACGTACTACAATAGAATCTCTTCGTGATTCAATAGCCCGAGCACATGTACCTCGAAGTGAATATGATGAAATTGTTGCTCGTCTTGAAGAATCTCAAGCTTATACTGCTGAACTTCAAAATCAACTTGATGCATCTTTAGCTCATTCGAATGATTTACAAAATCAACTTGATGCAGCAAATACACTTTCGAGTCAACTTCAAATTGAACTTGACGATGCTCGTACGAAATTAACCTCAACCTATGTTGTATTAGAGGAAGCCTGTGCTAAAATTGATTGTGAACGTGCTGAATTTGAAAAATCATTAAAACATATTCATCGTACAACAGTTGATGAAATTCGTAAAAATTCTGAATTATATGCTAAAACACTTGCAATGGAACAAACCTATGTAGAACAACGACAAGCACTTGATGCAAGAACAAATGAATTAAAACAATTAGAAAAACGTTTAACAAAACAAGAAGAACATGCAACAAATAAAATTAATAAATTAGCTGTTAAATTAGAACAAGAAAAATTTATTTCTAGAGAAATTCTCCAAACAGGAACAAACAATTTAATAAAATCAAAAAATAAAAAATGATTTGTACAGTTGTGTTTTTGTTTTTTAGTTGAATGATTTTAAGCAATAAACACTTGTTTATTTCTTGTTTCTTTTTTTTTGAATATGCTTCTTTTGCAAGTGAGAAAAAATTGAGAATACAACTTTCATTCAATTTTTTCGCTGATGCCGAATACAAAATTTCATGAAGCGTACTCAACAAGATTATGACAATAATAGACGAAAGTCTTCAACTCAACTGATTTCGGCTACCGTATATACTAAAAGCTTAAAATTTTGTGTACATGTACTGAACCAAGAATGTATGCCATGAAGCATTGCGGTACCATAAATGTTTAACTGCAAAGAGAGTTATCATGAATGGCACTTATTTTTGCTGTTAGCTTCATAATTCTGACATAGGAGAGTATTCGGTGTCAGTCAATGCCTCAATATGTAATGCTTTGTCCCAGCTATCTACATTAGTAATTTTAATGCATTTCATCAATATTTTTAAAGACTACATTCATTTTACTGTGACCATTGTTTTACAAAGAAACCATTTGCTGCCACTTGGAGGTTAATAACTGACTGATAGTTCAATGAAACGAGTTCAAAATTTTAGAAGCTTCCTCTAAAGTTCAACATGATCAACAGAAGCATCAATATTCGAGCAAATCAAATTAACTTATCTTTTGAATGAAGGAAGCATAGATGGCATCAGTATCGGCAACTGACTGCTCTATTATATCCACACTTACAAACAATCTGATGAATAAGTTATTGTGAATGGATACTTCTATGCATCCTATAGACTTTCGAATGGAACATGTATTACTGACTTTTTTGAAAATTCTAAAAGATACAAAATTACCTACAAACAGGGATAAAGATAGCTCTACCTGATGGCTAACTTACCGTAATCTTGAGCAACACAATCTTTTTGTTTGATGCCGAAAGTTTTCAAAAACGTTGCTAACTCTATTGCTAAAGAATTTGCGCGAAATTTGTCTAGCAAAAAAATGTCTTGATGAATGAGGGACGGATGATTTTGTTGACAACGAGAATCGTTTTATTCGCACATTGCCTCTTTTCTGTTTATCACATATATTAATCGAGTCTGATGTCTAACTCTTTTGAAAATTTGAACGAAGGAAGTGTTCTACTTTCTGAGAGCTATGCTAGGTTTTGTTTTTCTCGCTTCTCATATTTTCAGATCGCTCTAGCTTTTGCTGGAACCTTTTCATTGCAAACAAAGGTAACTCAGAGAAATTGGTTACAATTGAGAAAAAGAATATTTTATTGCATCTTTCAGTTTTCAAATCTGAAGAAGATAAGACGAAAAGTGCATGTATTTGAAAAAGCAAGTTTAACGTATACAAGTATCAGTAATTGGTGTTTTCTTGTGCACTAGTAGCTAGTAAATAAATAATGAATCTTTAGTCAAGATCGACGAGTCATATTTTTATGTCACTCAGGGGTAACAGAGATACTTCGTTAGGAAAAACCTTTTTATACAAGTTAAATTCGAGCGAAGATCACTCTCACCG